TGTTTTTATTTGAGGGATGTCTCCCATTCCTCTCTGACACATTCAGAATAGCCTGTCAGAATGAGTAATGTCGGGGTTTTTAATTGTGTGCCCTCTCTCCGGCCGGTAGGCACTTAGAGAGCTGCCCTTTTCCCCCTCTCTTGATCGTTTTATTTAAAGGAGACTCGGTCTCTATCTCTTATAAACGACAGGTAGCATAAGTAAGCTTACCCTCGTTCCCTTATGGAGAATATTCATTTTTTAAATGATATATTCCCTGGGAATGTGATGCTCCATTTTACGCAGGACGAAATGGACATGGGTTATTAACTGAGTAGGTGTGTTTTGTGCTTCTGGTAACGGACGGAACCAGTGGGGCGTAGACTACATCCTGCTTCGGCCTTAACCCAATAGCGATAGCCTTAGAGGGCGAAGCCTTATACGATATAGAACTGGGGTTACGTAATGTAACCCAGCTTCTATGAGTATAGGCGCAGCCCTCTAAGGGTCGGGCCCCACTGGCTCCGCGAATAGCTGAAGAAAAGCTGTTTGTGTGGGAGTAGATAGTAGGGCCTACTTCCTATTTATACGGAAGTGAGCCCGGAGGTGGGGCCCACGTCATAGGTGGGCGTGGATTAAATCTGTGAGTGCTGCACACGTGCAGGAGGGATTACCCAATAGCGATAGCCTTAGAGGGCTGCGCCTATACTCATAGAAGCTGGGTTACATTACGTAACCCCAGATCTGAAGTTTAAAAATAGAAAATAATGTTGTTATTGTTGTTGCATTTTGACCTTCAGGACCACCATACTTAGGCTTTTGTACTCGTACCACATATTTATGTTATCATTTATATTGTATTTTTGATAAAACAGCAGAAAAGCAATGGAGTATTCCATTATACAGCAGCCAGTTAAATGTCAGCATCATAATTTCCCGGTTTTAATGATCATATTTTTACGACAGTCTTCCTGCACACACCCGATACATAAACACAGTCCAACTTTCAGGGAAAAACGACATGCTGACAGTAATTTGCAGCAAAGGCACATCCTTCCTCTGCCTTAAAGAGGTGCAGATTATTACTCAGAAATAGTCAACAGGAAACACCTCTGCCCAGCGGGTATTTCCACATAAAATCTCAATGATTTCCTGGGATTGTTTAGCTTAGCTTTAGCTGCTTGTGATGTTGTGGTCACGTTTTCCTCACAGGCAAACAGGACATATTATGCTCATTTACAGGTTCATATTTGTATTTTGTGTCTCTACTGGGACATGTTTACTTTATTTACGCTATTTGCACCCGGGTGACTATCAACAATGCTATATGCATCCGGGTAACTATATTGAACAATGCTATGCAACCGGGTGACTATAGTCACCCGGTTGCATAGCATTGTTGACTATAGTCTATAGACAACAATGATATGCAATATCAATATAGTTACCCGGGTGCATGCAACCGGGTAACTATATTGAACAATGCTATGCTACTGCTTAAGATTTTTTTGAAAATCACCATCGAATCACACACAGGTTTCACCACATTTATTTAAAAAACATACCTTGCATTCAACACTCTCTTTTACAATATTATATTATTGCACATGGGAAGCAAAATATACACATCAATAATAAAATAACACTGATTCTTAGAACAAGTACTTGTTTCCCAAACATATACATTCATGTTACTCATTAGTAAAAAGCACAAGATCTGTACCAAATGTAATGTTTTGAACATTCAAAGATGTGGGTGAGGTTTTTTTACTTTTGGACGTCGCTCTGGAGTAATCGGAAACACCACTGAAATGATTCCAAAAATAGTCTAATACTATTCATTTTGTAGTTAATCTTTAACAGCAGAAATATTCGGTTTAAACAGAATGATTACCCCTCACCCAAAAACAAAAGATCAATGCAAAACAATTTTTATGTGAACGTTCAGCACAGCCTGATGAAGCACCATATTTACCAGCAACAATAATGTGAACTGTAGCTTATTCAAACACAGTACTCATTTTACATTATTATTTTCAGCATAAGTAACATTTCGACCGAGCCTTGTCACACCGAGAGAGCAGTGTAGACTCGTTATAATCAGAAACATGATACAGTAAACGATATGCACAACCCGCCTTTCAGCCGACTTTGAAATGAGGATAACTGAGTGATTTATGGCTCATTTGACCTGAACGAGGGAGAAAAAGGAACGAGGCTGGGTGGTGCTTCCTATTTCCCTCAAAGTGTGCAGAATATCTGTGGCGGATTTCCTGTCAGCTTTAGTGAGGTCGGTCTTGAGCTTCAGCAGAGCCAAAACATGTTTTTCACTGTGGGTGAAAGAGGAAAAAAATCAACCCAAATGCATTATTTGTTATTACGATCTCAGAGAAACCTGAACATGGTGCGAAACTGAAGGTTATTTCAGTTAGATTTTGATCAATTAAGGTCGGGAAGTGCTTTTTTCATTTTTTTTTGCTCTGTCTTTTTTGTATGAGCCATAAATACGTCCTATATTATTTTAACCAACAAGGAAGCAATGGTGGCAGCTGATAAAATAACTGTTTTTAAAGTCAATCAAACACATTATCTGTAATGTTCCTCCACTAGAGGTCAGTCAATCAAAACAATATCAAAAGTTAGAGGTTGGTGGCATGAAGGAGTTGTAGAGGTCGTGTTCAGGAGGTTTTAAAGCCTTTGGGAAAATAAAGCATATTCATGTTTTCATTTGCCAGCTTATTTCTCTTATTATTTAAGATCCAAACATCTGATAACTAAATCCTTCGTGACATTGAAATATGCTCAAAGGGGATACAACTCTGTCACAGGAAACTGTATTAAACGGGCCGTTACCTTGATTAAAAGTAATATAGTTCAATACATATAAAGCATAGGTCTTGTTGTGTTTAGACATTTGAAGGCAAAAAATATCATCTATTTCTTTTCTTTATCCTAAGTTGTTCCTTTAGTGGTTCTGGCACAAGACATCTTTTTATTCAATTATTAATCTTGCATTCAACGCTCCCATTGTCACCTATCAACCAATAGTTTTGAGGTATTTGTACTTTCATGTATTAGCATTTTGTGCTACTTATACTCCACTCCATCTGTTGGCACACTTTCATTTTGGAGAGATAACGGTGTGCTTTCGATTTGCCTCGCTATATTTAGGCAGATAGCATGCAGGGTGTCTGCAGATACACACACTGACACACTTCTAGTGGCTCAGAAGTGATGATACGGATTATTTGTATAAAAGTCTATAAACTGTGCCTTTAAAATAACAATTTTAAGGTCAACATGTAGCTTCACTTTGAACCAAGTCTGGAAATATTTTACTCTGACTGGAATCATTAGCTGTCGCCTCCTTATTTCACTGCAGTTATGTGATAGCACACCACAGCACTTCCACCGACACGTGACTACTTTTAGCTCTCAACGCTGTCCTGTTGCCAGGAAATATCTGAACATGTTTTCACTTCCTGGTCCTTCGCCTTTCAGGGGGTTTGTTTATCCTCCACTAATATAAACCACTCACAGCATGATACTGCCCTTATGAGGTCAGCTACATTGCTTTGTATATATTGTTTGATTGCAAAGGTTACCTGAGGTCAGGGTAATCACTTCCAAGTAAGGCAACTTGCATCTGTATGGCGGGGAGATCCTGGAGTTTCAGCACTTCTGCAATCTTGAACAGGATTTCTTTCAACCAATCCTCCTCTGATCCCTGTGATGACAGAGCGCTTACATCATTCAGAGGGATCTACACGCCGATCGTTTTTGGAAACATTTGATCTGTTTTGGTTTTGTGGAGTTTCCCTGAATAACTTATTTATCACACACTGTGGTCAGCTCAAGGCTAAACCCAATTACCTCTTTTTTTTACATTCAAATCTCGAATTGAGGTTTTCCAATGAACACTTACAAAAAAAACGCAGATATCAAAAACCAACAAAAAATCCAAATAACAAAATCCTCAATTTGAATTAAATTATCAATTGGATAACATTAGTCCATCATTTGTTTATTAAATGAACTTTCTTTAATGAATTTAAGTCATCAGTGTGTGCAGCAAGCTTGAGAGCAAACTCGTTTTTTTTTTTAACCACAGTAAAAGTGTTTGTTTTGGAACGTTAACGCAAGGAAATATGGATTGAAGCAATTTTTTTTTTACTTCTCGACTTGACAGTGCTCTGGAGTTATTGGAAATATTTTGATCACACAAGCTGGAAACAATTATGCGCTGCCTGAACTGGAATGTAAAACCAAAAAAAGTGTTATACTAGGAATACTAGTGCAGCCTTATTTTTATCTGCAACTGTGCAGAAATACCAGGTTTTAACAGAAAAAACAACTGCTGATTAAACTTCAAACTTTTCGCTACAGCCCTAGTCAGTACAGGTATTTCTGAATCTGAACTACAACCAAAAATTAGTTTGGGGTAAAATATAATACTTGTTTTAAGTGATTTTGTGCTCCATTCTCACCATTTGGACGAATAAATGATGCAAATTCTCTGCGTTGTCCTTCACAGTCAGGTAGGCCTTCAGCTGTTGCATCTTGTCCTTTAGTTTTACTTTTCCTTTCAGGAGCCTCCTCACATATTCTACTGTAACCTCCTGCTCCAGCTGGCCCATCAGCTCCTGAAATGAATACAATAATTGAATCAAATCAGAGCAAAAAATGAATAGTTTCAGCCTAAAATGTAATTACATTTACTTTCATAAAGAACCAAGCAGTTCATTTTGGGTGAGTTTTAAGAACCATACCATTGATACACTAATGGCTTTAATTCATTTCTTTACAGCTTGAAAATCAGTGTGTTGACTTTGAAAACGTGTTTCAGTATAGTTTAATCCATGGCTGTAAACACAACTGATTTCCATCTAAACTATAGCATACTTTGCACAATGTTTATAAATCTAAAGTCTACATGAATTGAAGTGTGTGTTTCATGCTTTCTTCAGTCTACCTTGTGACAGGATTCAGTTGAACCCTGAAGATCTTGACTCTCTTTGTTGATGCCGTCCAGCAGCTCCTTAAACTCACTCTGGTGCAGCCAGTCGCTGGTTCCCAGTTTGCGGTACTGCGGCTGTGTGGGAACAACCATGACGCATTAGAAAGGAAACACTTCCATGCACAGTGGCAGAGAATACAGTTAAAGGAGGATAGGATGTCACCTCCTATGTTTGGTGCAAAAATATATGTTAGTCCATCTATAACTTTTCCATTGCAATAACCCCAAGCCCATTGGATGCATAAATCATTAAAAGTCACCTAAAATAGAAGGTTTAACGAGGAAATAGTGCATAAGTTGGTTCCCTTTGTCAAACTAAACTATGACATGTGTGTTTGGGTAATGAACAAAATATGTTGTTAATGGATGTGGCATTGTCACCGTGCTTTTAATGCTTTTTGACCAACATTATGGCTCTATAGGAAGGATGATAATTCAGGCTTTAGTACACAGGCCATATGTGTACGTTGAACATGCATTGTTGATTAGTTTTTTTCCCACAGTATTTGTTGACAATAATAAAGAATCTCACCTTGAGGCGCTCGTGCAAAGGTTGTAATAAGTATGTGTGGGCAGATTGTTTCATGTCAGTCAGAACACACAAACAGTTCTTCCTCACATCTTCTGTGAACAGGTGTCTCTCCTTATTGAGGACTTCACTGCAGAGAGAGCAAATAAGTCACATTAGCTTACATTTCTATTGTGATAGCATGAAGGCTACGCTACAATGCGTGGATGTCAGAAACGTACCTGAACTGTTTGATACAGTCGAGGTTGGCCTTGATGAACGACCTGCTGTTTGCCTTGTTTTGCTTTATGACGTCACTTTGGAAGCTCTTGTAACTGCACAGGTTATAAAAAAACATTTTACTTTCACTTCGTTATTGTTGTGCTTAAACACAAGATAAAAAAGCTTTTGTAAACAAAATGTTTTGAAGATAATCATCAGTCTTGTTACCTCTCCATTAAATCTTTTGATATATGGCATGTTATTCTCTGGGCCTTTTTCGGATCTCCCAACACTTTTGTAGATGAAGTCACCTTACCGTTGATGAGCTAAACACAGATGGAGGATTCAGGTTAATGACAAACTTTAAAAAACAACAACAGCCTGATTCTCCCAAACAGTCAAACCAACTAAAAACTGGACTGAGTGGACTTTCTATAAATAACTTAGACCGTGACTCATTGTTAATCTTATTGGTTAATCTTTTTCTAAAACTGTTTGTAAAATAGACTGACAAGCTACAGCTTATGCAACTTCTTCCAGGTCTAAACGGCAGAACAGAGGACAAGGTTAAATATTATATTTTTACATTTTGTTCTCTTATGCTCAAAAGAAGCGTATGACATGATGAATAGCAAACACCTATTTCAAACTTCTTGCCAAATACACATAACAGAAGAAAGAAGCTTTTTATATTGATACCGTTATAACAACGTATTGTTTTCAGCCACCAGAGAGCAGCCAAATCAATCTGCTAGCTCACATTTTACATATTATCAACTATATAAGTTGATACACTTGTTAGCATTCCAATTTCAACATTGACAGATTCAGAGCAACATGATCCCTCATTAAGATAAAAAAATGTTTTAGGGGTTTGTGTCCAATATTCACTCTGTTTGTTGATCTGTTTGTTGATCTGATTTTGGTCTCCACCTACTACCACGGGACTATAGTGGTTTTTACTGCCTCAAAGACGCAGCTTGTTCTCTAAAAAGCTGTTTAATTGTACCTGAATGATGTCGTATGCCACATGACTAAAGAAGCAGCCGTCCTCTGTTTCCGGCTCCTCTCCTTTATTCCACTTTTCCCTTTCTTCACCCAGCACCCGGCGGATTATTGTAGTCAGCTCACCCTGAGAACACAACAACATGAAGCTGAAACAGTCTTTTCTACACAGTAAAATAAAGATAACACTTTAATAAAACTAACCAAACTACAACAAAAACAGCAGCTCAGGTCACCTGTTGGTTGCTCAGGTAATCATCCTCCAGCGATTTCAGTAACCTTTCAGGCAGCAGCTTTCCCAAAGGCCCACTGTCGATCTCGCTGTGTAGCTGTGGCTTTGCAAGGATTCTGAAACAGACACCAAACATCAAAACTTTCATTACATGTTACTTGTTAGACGCTTCTATCCAAAGCGACTTACATACTCAATACTGTGGGCAATCCCCACAGGAGCAATTTTGGGTGAAGTGTCTTGCCCAGGGACACAACGACATGCTGACTGCAGTGGGGTTTGAACCTGTGACCCCCTGATCCCAACACCAACACACAACCCACTGCACCACACGCCTTCATTAACCCTTCGAGACATCTTTCAGCATCAAGGTTTGGATTTCTGTGCATTTTCAACAGTTTTTTCTCATAATATTGACTTCATTTTCTTAATTTCAAAAGAAGAACAGGCAGAGTTTTTTCAGCAAAAGACATGTGGGTTAATAGTTTGGAAACATCAGGGTATGACTGTGTAGAAGTGACTCAATGAAAACTGTATAACAAAACCTAATCTGAGATTTGCGCAACTCCTGCAACTGATTCATACTAAATTATATAAGAGTTCTCAATTATTTGTGGGTCTTTTCTTGGACCACTTTTAAATCCAAAAATATTTCTCTGATTATAACTACGTTTCCTTCTGACCCTGTGTTTATTACTTTTTGTACCCATTGCTTTTGGGAGTCAAAACTACAAGTGTAATTCTTAAATACCCTTATAAAAATACTCAAACTTGGTAACATTGGATCAGCGTGTTGGACAAAGGATAAACTGGTGGACCTTTACCGTGACACTACCAACACAAGAACACAATAACATGGAGTTTTATTCAAACAATTGAAGCCATGACTTACTCTGGATAATACTCGTTCACCCAGCGCAGGAGGAAAGTGCGATCGTTGTCCACCAGACCAAAGTCTGCGACGTTCATTAGACTGGCGCTCAAGGTTTGGTGGTATAACTTGGAGTAAAAATTGCAAATGTCCATCTCTTGTGGGTAGCATCTCTTCACACCGCCCACCACAGACAGCAGATCCTCTTTCAGCTGCCTGCCCATGTTGGTGATGTCCGCCTGGATAGTAGTCAGTTTGATCTGGCAAGCAGAGGGTGTTGAAGGGGTTTCCATACGTTGTTTCACCAAGCTGAGAAGCGTGGAGTCGTGCAGCTTCCTCCATCCACTGGGCCTCCAAGACGGAGGTATCTGATCCCTTTGTTTCCACAGCAAGTCCTGGTCCTCCTCCTGCATCACAGCCTTCACGGCAGACGTCAGACCCGCCAAGCTGTCCTCTTCCAGACAAAGAGATTGTCCCAGAGTCTGCAGTACGAGGTCTTGCAGGGCCTTGCGGTCTGCCTTCAGCTGGTTTACTTGTTCCTCATGATCTGCAAGAGCGTCGGACTCCTTTAACTCTCTAAACAGACGCTCCTCTTTTTCTATCAGCAGCTGGCCGGCTTCAGACAATAGTTTTTCCTGGAGCATCTGCTCATATGTGAGGATCACTGAGGGGAAGAAAAGTCGCAGTAAATAATACCATCCTACTACCGTCGCAGTAAAACATTCTCCAGTAAAAGTCCTGTATTTATAATAGTAATTATAAATGTGAGACCTATCGGAAACATGTAACTAAAGTATGAGAAAACCTTGTTGTGTTTTACTACTATATATAATTGTTTTGTTTAATATTACTGCTGTCTAAATGTGCATGATGAATTGTTCCTCTATGGATCATTACAGTTGTGCTATTATTCTGGTATTTCATCTCGTGCAAAATTTTCATATCTTCTTTTTTTTGTTTTTATGAGAAAAGATGAAAGCAGCCCTATTTTCAGTTCTGTGACTATGCATTTTCCAGCCTATCCAAATACGTAGTCCTTCAGTTTATCATAATAATAAAAAATCACCACAACTAAACTACATATACAATGTTTTGCTTGTATGCACATGATAGAGGAGAGGTGAGTCCCACCACCCAAACATTTTAAGTTAATAACAAAATTATGATTATTGCCACATTAGCTTGTTCTGTTTTATGTATCTTAACTGACCGGGTTGGGGCTCCTCCTGTTGGGGTAAAGGGGATCCATCCGTCAGGCTGGAGGTGTTGTTGTTGACAGCCGGGGGTTGTGGATGATCTCTGGTGCCGAACCCGAACCACTTTTTACGGGGGAGGAAGTTCCTAATGCCGCGTGTGTCGGTCCTCATCGTTTTCCTGGAACAGATACTGTGCCAGCAGCCAGAAAAACGCTCTGAAAACACACATGGAGACAAAAAGTAAATAATCAAACGTTTGTTAATATAAAAAATAACAGTCGAATCAAACTAGAGGAAAAAGCTAACAACAATTTTAGCAATTTTTTGCTACATTAGCAAGCTATTTTGTAGCGTATTAGTCATTCCCTTCAACAGACGCTACTCACCCTTATCTTAGAGTGCTTCTCTGTTGATGCCATTCAGCTGCTGTGAGTCTCTTTTAAAAGCTCAGCAGCAGGCTCCTCCTGCTTGATCGAGCTATGGAAAGCCCCCACCCTCAGAAACACACACAACTGGTCTTTTTTTAAACACATGATGAGCTGAGGAAATGCTGGCCACTTTTGTTTGAAAAGTGTGATTCCCCAACGATTTAAAGGACTTAACATTATTAAATGTTCTAGAGACATTCATGGTCCCCGCGGATGAACCCACGCTTGTGATGTCCTTACTTTTCCCTCTGGCAACAAGTTAAGAAACAAGACAAATGGTCTCGACTGATGTAAACACACTTCCAGGCAAAGAAAAAGCACATTATTCATTCATCTAACAACATCTGTTTTGTTTTAGGTCTAATACAATTAGTGCTGTGTTAGATGGACTGGAGATAACTCTCCCTGGATGGAATTATGTGCAATATACTGTATGGTGTCATGTGCACAGACCAACATAATACAATAACAACATCACTAGTACTGTTACTCCAGTACTGTAACTGGCAATGGACAACAAGACAACATTGACCAGATTCCAAAATACTATAAGACTTTGGGAAATTAAACATCATACAGTGTTTGTGGTGAAGAAATATGAAGGTAAACATTCAAAGCTTTCTTCGAAAACCTCAACAAAAGCTACTTATGTGAAATAAGTAACATCTTATGCTAGATTTGCACATTACACCACTGACTTTAGCATTACCCTCATTCATACTAAACCAAAGTCTTTGTACATGCATTTAAGGATTTGCATCTAAAAGTAACTATGTGTGTTGCAGTTAATTTCCTTTTGTTCTGCTCATAGCAGACCCATCTCCGAACTCCCCTTCACTTTGATGTTGACTACACATCTGGATCGTTTTGTGACTGCATCTTTCACCGTTGTGACGCTTTTGCATTGACAAAATCGCATAACTAAAACCTTATCTGTACTTTAGTTCTTGTTACAACGAATGTTTCAAGGGTTATTTGTTCATGATGACACATCACAGACTCACAGGCTGAAACCAAACCAAGTGCACGCAGCTGGTAAACATTATCACAGTAAACATCTACCAAAATAAGACTGGTCTTTTAAACCTTCCGCTGGCTAGCCCTTTTCTCCATTTTAGGTTGAACATTTTAAACAGAAAGCAATAGTAAGTCTTATGGATATTTTACAGAGGAAGCTTACAGTTATACAAACAGACGAACATACATTCAAGCACATTTATCAGTACAACTTTACAATTATTTGTAAAGAGTGGAAGTGTGTACTGCACTACACAGCTTCACTTACCTCGGGATCCAGGTGACCGATACATTTAAAGACCTTTATAAAGCTAATTTTGCCCCCCTTTTGTCCCGCGTACAGGAAGACATCAACCGCTGGTCAGTGTTGAATCTGTCTCTGGTTGCCCCAATTAATTCTATCAAGATGAATATACTCCCCAAATTTCTATATTTATTTCAATGTGTGCCCATTTTCCTCCCTCCAATTTTTTTTCGGAAAACTGACACTATTATTTCGAACTTTATTTGGGAAAAGAAAACCCCAAGGATAGGCAAGCAATTTTTACAGAGACCAAAGGCGCTGGGTAGACTTGCTCTGCCGAATTTGAGGTTCTATTATTGGCTACTAATCTGAAAATAATACAGTCCTGGCTGCAGTCTGACTCACAGCACTCTCCGCCCGTTT